AAACCCTGCACCATCAAGTCCGCACAACTCCCAAATCCATCCGTACCTACTCCACGTTCTATAAAGTCATGGATTCCTCGCAATCCAACATTTACAAATCAACCCGGTCCCGAGAAAGCAGCACTTTCACCTAACCTGGTTAAATATTTGATACACGCACGCACGCATCGATTCCATTTCGCTCACCCACTTGTCCCGGTTTTACAAAAGTGCGAAAACTTCTCATGCTGCTTTAAGAAATTGGAATGTTTCCTGCCACGTGTTCCCCATTTGTGGATGGATGGATGGCACAAATACAATTTACCATACGCATAATAAATCAAAATTATTGGTATTTTCTTTAGGAAATAGTGACGCGTACGTACCACCCGGAACGCGTGGAGATAATTCCACCTGCCTTTTTAAAAGAGTGACAACAAAAGAGCAGAGTCGACATTTTTGTGTACAACGCGCAAACCTCGTGGTGGTCTCGTCATGAATTATAAATATAAATCGTTAGCTACGACTTTACTTTCTCCATTTGTATCCTCGCACTAGTGGACGCGACTCAAATTGCTTTTGACGTAGCGTGATGGTGGATTGTGTTTCCATTGTGTTACGCATTTCCCACGTGCGTACGTAAGTAAAGGAATGGATTTTCATGGCTGACACACTTATCCGCTCAAAGTTTCTGGTTGTGCGTATGTACGTAGACTGAAAATATGTAGGTAGGTGCGTACCAGTGCGTGAAGGGAAAGTTCAATCCACTCGAATTGTGTTGTGGCTACAGACTTACATATTTATGTATTTTGGACTTTAGGACTTTCTCTCTCTCTCTCTCGTAATTCGTGGTTTGTCTAATATGTTACGTGGGGCTATTTATTTTTTAAAAGTTTTTCCATAATTTACATAAGCTCACTTACAGGTAGGTACATACATACATAAATTACGCGCAGTATATGTATATCGATTCCTACGTGATATTTGTTTACTAAACTACTTTCCCCTGCTTATCTGACATTATGAAATTATACTTCTCTACTCCGTCATTAGTTTAGGTAGCGGGAGAAAGTTGCCATTTATGCGCATACCCGCCAAAAACTATTAATAGAATGAAATAGGTAGGTAGCGCTGACATTTAATTTTACAAGGAAGTTCTCAATTATTATTGGGAACACCGGGAGGTATTTACTGAATGAATACGTAGGCAAGCCCAAATTTGGCTAAGTTGTCAACCTGATTTACATTACACACCTTCAAAGTTATGAATATCTCGTGGGGTAGAATTGCGTAACATGATTCGTACCGTTTACCCTCTTTTATCTGGGTTTGCCTTAATCAGTCCAAGGCATGACGGAACGGAATGAACTCTATTGTTTACTTTAGACCAGAACTATCAGGTTTCTTCTTTGCCCAACTACGAAACCTGTATGAGGCACACACGCGTACCTAGAATCGATTAACACTCGGAAAGGCAAGGTTGTTGACTTTTGCGTAAAAATTGCAAAAATATATTATTTATTAAGGATGTGAGAGATTGGTTTAAAAACAAATTAGATACAAAATTGATAGAAAATTAGGTTGATTTGTTCATTTTTTTGTGGGTTTAAAAAAAATTGAATTAATCTACGTTATTCAATAGGGGTTTTGTAATTCACAAATTACAAAATTGACTGAAAATTAGGTAGATTTGTTTATTTTTCTGTGAATAAAGAAAAATTGAATAAGCAGAGTTTTGTAATCCTAGTCCAAATCCTCAAATTACAAAATTGACACTAAATTAGGTAAATTTGACTGTTTTTCTGTGAATGTTCAAAAAAATGAATAAGCAGAGTTGTGTAATCCGAATCCAAATCCACAAATTGCATGGCCGACTTAAAATTTTGTTAATTTTTTGTGTGAATTTTCAAAAAATTGAATCAGCCAAGTTTTGTCATCCTAACCCATGTCCAACCAATATTCGCAAGAGTGCCCCCCAATCTGGCGACATGCAGAAAATCTTGTCACCATGATATCTGTTTTCTCTCACATTTTACGTATGTACAAATCCATGTATATCCTCGCATTATTCTTGGATGACTACTTTTCTTCTTGCTCCACTTTCCGTCTTCTTCTTCCGCTGGGATTACGTTCCAGTTCTAATAATTGGATTGAGATTCCTGATGCGACACAATGTTTCCCTGCTTTTGTTCCCCGTAATCTGCGAAGAAAGTGGGATTTGCTAGCAAGAGGAGGAAACGGGAAGCTATGTGAAAATCCGTCACCCAATTCCACTCGCGACACTTATGCAATGAATTATTCAATCCTTTCTCCAACTCAAATTTACCAGGAAGGAATTATGCCCAAATAATGGAACAAAGTACAATTTTCTCGGCACGCTCGATGAAATTGTGAGATCTAATTAGCCTCATTATAGTTTTATGCAGTTATAGTTGATAATATTTCGAGGATACAAAATAATAATGCGGGATCAGTGTTTCGTTTCTGGCGGGTTTGCTATATTTTTTGCACAAAGGAACAAATGTGAGGTGCAAGAAATATGCGCTATCTGGCCACGTGCCGTATGAAAAATAGTGACCGGGCGTGGTTTCTTGCGCCTTGCATTTCTTGCAGGTCTTGCTAAAACTCATTTTCTTTCCGTCATTTCTTGCAAATAGTTATTTGAGCTCGAAACACTGTACGTAATATGCGAAAATTAATGCGAAAATCACCAATCGTAAATATTTGCCACGTGTTGTGCCGAATAGCAATCAAATTATTGTCGAAATTCTATTTTGTACGCTAATTTTTATGATTTGAAAATTATCAATTTGTACAAACATGTGTCCCCATTTTTCCCGAATTTTTCCATTCATGCGAATCTCATTACTCCACGAAGTAAAATAAATTGTAAATTCTATCAAGCGAAGCAAAACCCAGGATTTGAAATCCAATAAGAAAAATTCTAAAACTACGGAATCAATATAAACTCTACGACGAGAAGATAAAAAAGTAATTGCAAATTCCAAAGAAATATAATATCCCGTTGTCTCTCTCGCTCTCTTCCAAGGACAAAAGTTTAACCTACATAATAAGAAATATGTATCGAAACAAGGTTACAACCAGGCGCCGCGGAAGCCCTAGGAACATTAACATTGTGGGATAGGCGAGGGAAAGGTTTATTTAACATGGGCAGATGATGGATACATCCAATAACCGTGGGAAGATTGTCCCTTTGCCCCCTCCCTTCCGCCGCCACTGGTTACAACGTCTCTCCCAAACAATGAAACACTTTCTCTCGAACCGTAAAGTTCCAACTATTTATGATTGACTTTTCATTATTAAACACGCGATAAGATTATATTCACAATAAAACGGAAAACTTTCTCCATTGTTATTGTTTTAAGATGATGAGCAGAACGAAACGGGGGACAAAAGGAGACGACGACGGAGTTGCAGGAAGTGGAACAAATTGCGAAATGAAGCACCTCATCAATCTCTGATTCTAGCACAAAGTTAATTTAATGCAGTTCGTCTTCCTTTTGTATTGCTTGGCCTGCCCAACTTTCTCCCAAAACGCCAAACTATGTAGTAGCTGTTATATGCGTGCGAGTTTCTCCCCACGGACGGCGGAGGCAGGAGAGGAGAAAGTTGGCCGAGTGGTGGAAAATTAATCAACCCTTCTTTTCCATCTCGTGATGATCTACGTACGAATTGTGTACGTTGAAATTTCGCCTCAGTTTAATTTCATCGTGGGCAAAGTTAGCCTGATCCAATAACGTTGTGAACGAACTAAGAGGCGAGTCTGAGTAAGTAGTGGAGTCGTTTATTGGTGGTGTGAAATAGTACGAGATTCCCAGTGGCCGCGGAATCGGGGGGGGGACAGAGGGACAATGTCCTCACGGTTGTTCGATGTCTACATGATCTGCCCATGTTATATAAACTCCATCCTTCCCTATCTTACAATGTTAATATCCCTAGATGTCCCCACGGCCAATTTAAGCATTAGTATATTTACAATAAGGGTACAGTGACCGCGGTAGCGGAGGGACAATGTCCCCACGGTTATTCGATGCCCACATCATCTCCCCATCTTATCTAAACCCCTCCCTCCCCTATCCCCCAATTTTAATGTCCCCCCATGTCCCCACGGCTTCCGCAGCCACTCGAGATGCTGCTAGATATCCGACCGTACGTGTATGCCGTCTTGATGCCTATTTTTTCCCATAGAAAAAAACTGGTCGTGTGGTTGTACGATCTTGGAAAAAGTTTTCCACCACCAAAAACACACCCACCACTTCCCATTAGGCGGCCAGGAAAGAAAGAGATCGATCGTGGAAAGTCTGGCTCGTTAAGGCATAAGCAGGATTATGGGAAAAAGTAAGCGGAGTGATCGAGTGAGATGCTAGTCTCATTAGTTAATACGTATTATTTGGTGAAAAAGTGCTCTTGCCACCTGCTCGGATTTTTCGGGTACGTCACATTTCTTGCGAAATTCGAGCATTTTTTACTACAATTATGGTCCGGTTTATGCGCATACATAATTTGCGACAAAAAATGGCGTCCTCATTATTTCTCCGGGGAGGAAAATTATGTATGACGAATTGTGATGAGAAAATAGGCATAAATTGCTATTATTGTTCGTCCGATGGCAGGTAGATTGTTTGTTTATTTGTTTTTCCGCTAACTTTGCTTCCCTGGTGGAGCACGCATTTATTCCAATTACACAACACTCCGTGGAACAAGAAGGAACAAAGTATTGGAGCAGTGGAAGCATTAAGTATGCAGTGGAATGAATGAATAATTAATTGATGGATGGGTGAATGATGTGCCCAACGGATTCAACTTGTGAATAAGACGCAAATCAATGTTGACAAGAATTCCCGGGAGAAAAATATGTAGTGAAAATTGGCCCAGCTTTCTGCATTGGATGAAAGTTTTATTCAAAAGTGGATGAATTCTTTGCCAAAAAAAGTGTTTGGCGTGGGTACAAAAAAAAAGTTTTCATAATTTTAATTGTCCTAGTTGTACTGTCTTCTTACCTGAATCGTAGACGTCGTTAACGTCACAAAATTCTGCCACTTTTGTGTGTGTGATATCTTTGTGGGATGCGAGAAAGAGGACGACCTATAATGCGAGGGTAGAAAATATTATGTGTTTGACACCGAATTTTGGATGTTAAAATGTCCAAAAGTGTTCAAAATGGACAGTTTGGCAAAATTCTGCAAGTTTACCATTACTGAATCTTTCGGATTATGAGAATTTTGGTCTGTAATACGCCATGGTTTTCAAATTTTCTTAATTGCTCATAAGAGAAAGTGTAAAAACGAAAGTTTTTTTTTCCAAATTTCGTGGTATTACATGCCAAACTGCTTAATGGAAGATTACAAATCTGTGTATGGATTTGTAAAAAAATCATTAATAAAGAACTTATAACTTTTTGCCACATTATCCAATTTGGACAGCTTTTGGACAGCTTTTGGGCATTTTTGGGCAGTTTTTGGACGCTTATGAACGGCGTCCAGTCCAAAACGAAACATATTTAATATGAATAATCAGTGAATATTCACCTCTCTTTTTTCATTCTTTATGGGAACAATGTCCAACAAACACCAAAACGGTGTTCCCGTTTTCTTGTAGAGGATTAACTCCAGTTTCAACTCTGTTTTCTGATCGAGCGACTTTGCAATTTCCAGTTTCTGATCTTCCGTCGTTTCTGCGCCAAACAGGAATTTGCAGGCACACCCCTTTTGCATAATTTGGGCGCGAGCATATCCCGTCAGTTCGCAAAAACCGTCGGAACAGTAGACGATCGGGTGCGTGGCGACTTGAGCATTTCCCAGGACAAAGTTGGAATCTGTAGAAAACAAAAATATGTAAAATGATTTGTTAGTAAATAATTTCCCTCGTAAGACGATTTTCTTAAAATTAGTTAAGAGTATTTAGAGTTGAAGTAAGAAACCGGGGAATCGTGGGGACAGAGGGACAATGTCCCCATCATCTGCCCATGTCATACAAACCCCTCCCTCCCCTATCCTACAATGCTAATGTCCCCAGGTGTCCCCACGACTTCCGCGGCCATTGGTTGAAACAAATTCCAGGAAATGAGGTCTCCCTTTTCTACTTAAATACCTTTTTGTCTTGCATGCCTTAATTTGTTTGTGCAAAAAAAGAGCTTTAATAATTTCCGGAGCAAATTCATTATACAAAATCAAAGCATTTCAACTCTAAATTTTCCTGTGAATCATTACGGCTACTTTCTCCAAGATATTTTATCTCAGAATTTGCAATATTTAGTTTGCTGTAAGTTCCAGCTCCATATTTTGCATTAGTATCAAAGGACTTATACAACTTGTGTACATGAGATTATTTTTGTTTACTCAAAATAATCAATTACACAAATTGGCTGAACCAATTTACGTAGTTGCTCCGTACATCCGTACAAAGAGGACACATGACTTTGAAGATTTCAATTTAAAATTTAACCATATTCGTCTAAATGCATGACATTTTTAGAAATGACAAGTTTGCATGTCATTACGGCATCTTTTATGAGAAGAAAGAGTAAAAATCCTGCACGATGAAAATTCCTCTTGGTTTTAATTTATTGCGAATTTTCTTAAAAATAGAGTATCCAGACGCGCAGAAAAAGTGGAAGAATTTATCGATAAAATATAACCGATACTTGCAAAACTTTTCTCTCAAAGTTTCCACCACTTGTTTTGGAAGCGACATGCCATGTCCTGAAGGAGTATCGAGCCTTTTTCAAGGTTATTTCACAGCACATTTGATTAAACAGGTATGTAGGCAGGGTTATTAGGGGAGAAATATTATGGAGATTTCTCTGGTCGGATGGGTTCCTCGCGATGGATGACATGCATGCCTGGCACGAGGAGAAAGAAAACTTCTTCCCATCCCTCGAGGGACTCGAGACAAACGGATTTGAGACTTGCCTTTCTCTCTTTTCCTTCTCTTCTCAGAAAGATCCTGGTTTTTGAGACGGGATTAATTTTGTAATGTTTCAAATTCATAAATATAAATTAATTTGGCAAAGTTAAGTGAAATCAAATTTTGCAAATTTTTGCAGTGCCATAAAATAAATGGTACGAGCTATTTTCATTTGTATAAAAAAGAGAAAATATGACTTTCACAAGTGATATGTATATTAAAATGGTGTTATTTTCAAAATACATAAAAAACACGTAAGATTTCCGAGATTCAAATTAATTTGCAAAGTTCAGTAAAAATTAAATTTTGCAAATTTCGCTATGCGAATAAATTTTTCTAGCTCAAAAAGAGAAGCACGACTTTCACAAGTGATGTGTACATTTAAAAAGTGTTATTTTCTCAATGCATAAAAAATATGTACATAAGATTACCAAGATTCCTGATACATTTCATAATACGCGTATAGAAAGTTAAAATTTAATCTGCTTATTACAGCCTACCTATTTTACTTTTAGAACTTCACTATTATACAAAAGGATAATGCTTTGTCAAGGTTGGCGTGTGGTTTATGTTCATATTTACGCAACCAGGTGGGTTGGATGACGATGACGAAAGAGATTTCGAAGGAATTATTGCAAATCTGTTTGATACAGAACATAAATAAATACGTAATTATTGTTGACTGTAAAGTTTACAAATATCCAACAAGTCTGCAAAATCGTTCCCTAGATATTTGTTCAAGAGCAACCTGATCCTAAAATGGAAAGAGATTAAATGATCAAGTACACATATTTATTTTTGTTATTTTCTATATTTTCCTATATAGTTTCGAGCTATTAGATTTAAAAGGTCGTCGTGCGGTCATATAAAATCGGATTGAATTGAGATCGCAGACATTAAAAGTGGGTCCTCGATATTTGCTGTTGCTTCCTAAATTTGAGGATTAAACGTGTATGTAAACTTAATACTCTATTGTTAGAAAATATGCAAGGCTTCGTTATAGTTATTGTAAAATTGAACAATAAAACCAGTTATACAAGGGAGACGCAAATAACAAAAGCGAACTCGAAACCGTACCATGATTAGGTAACAATTCGTCATCTTGGAATTATTAAATTGTGTATAAAAAGTATTTGATAAGATTAAATTTCGTTGATATTTACTACATAAATCAAATTAAGTAAGCCTATTAGTTTACAGGTAAACTGTGTCAGAGACAAATCATTAAAAATAAGTAAGTAAAAATAGGTAAGTATTCTTAAACACGACCCAAATTGAAAGTACAAAAGTTACGAAAGTGAAAAGAAATTGAGTTGCAAGAATTGTTTTTATAAAAATAGGTTATCATTTCCTACGTCTTTTCAACTTTAGGAACTGAAAAAGTAGACGAAGGTTTGCAGAAGACCCTCAAAACCTTAATCATGGATTGAAAAAATACTCGTCAAACTGCAGTATTTTGATCTCCATACTTCTAACGGTTTGGATTTCTAGTGTCCTTACAGATATGTACAAAAAATCGAGAATCTATAGCAGTCATGCGATTAAAAAATAGGCACAAAACGACATAACGCCCGTAATTTCAGGCTTTGTTTAGAAATTATTTTTTATCGTTGTCAAAACATGTATATTACAAATATTTTCGTAATTTCAAAAAATAAGTAATTTGAAAGCGATAAAAAGTGAGTTTCTGGAAATCCCCAACGAACAACGAACAAAGCCCAAAATACTGTATTTTGACAAAGTATTTTGCCCATTCATGCATTTAATTGGATTGATTTAAGTACATATAAATATACAGATTTATATTCGGCATCTTAATGAAATGCATGACAATTTTGATGTGAAAATCTGCGTCATTTTATTAGCAGAGTACTTACACAAGCCATGCATTGTGTCAAAAGTGCCTGTCCACGATACGTACGTACAATCAGATTGGCACCATCAAAACACAAATTTAATGACTGTAATACAAGTCATTATATTATTCACTGGCAACTTTCTCCTTGTTAACGCGATTCCAACAGAATGAGAAAGTTGCCATTACGGTTTCAGAATTATGTTGGCAACCAGTTACGATGGATGAAGAAAGACATAAGTCGACTATTCTTCTTCTTCTACTTTCCTCATTCACGGATTATACGTAGCTTTTCCGGCCTGCCTAATAACATAAGGCGATGAAACGAGGGAGAATAATGCTCTTCCCGTAGAAAGCCAGGCGTAATTCGATCCCACATATTCGTGCCTGGGCGTTGTAATGAAATGTGATACATTAAGAAATACGAGTCCATTATTTGTGTCGTAACATGTAACACCTTTTTATTCACTGGAAGAGCACCATCAAAAACGAGATTTATTAGATTTGTCACTTTCCCAACTTTTGGGAACATGTGAATATTCAGAAAATAAAAAATTCTGTGAGCAGAAAGAAAACCTAAATTGCAAAAAAAAGAATTGCGCAGTTCAGTTCTTTATTTTGCACAATTTTCACCTAAAAATTGAAGCAAGGTAATTTTTTTCTGGGTCGCGTTCGTTCGCATCTCTTAATTTGAACGTGTTCTCGATTCACTTTGATGGTATCGGTGTGGTCCGTTTTACTCGTCGTAAAACCAAACCGTGTACAAGAGCCACTTTCATGCCGAAGCCGAAACGCAGTTTTGTGTTCCGCTTTCAAATGAAGAGTTTAAACTGAGGCGAGGAAGGAGCGAATGAGCGTTGTTAACTTTCACCAGGGCTTGAAAATTCTAGTAAATCATGGTCTATTAAACGGAGATGGATACCATGTGTAAAAAACATGATGAGAAAATGTGAAGGGTTGATTCATGCAACACGTGTACATTCAAGACCATTTAGGTCTTCAATTTTTAAATAATTTAGACACGATGATATACATTTTATACCACGTTTTCTACTCCACATCACTCACACGTTGTTATAAACGTGATGGCATACATCAGATTAGACATATTTGGGTAATAAATAACGGTTCGTTCAAAATTAATATGCAATAAATTTCTCAAAATTCTTTAAAAAGCCGACTGGTTTGAGTTGCTGTCTGATTCTGACAACGTTTTAACTATCCATATTAATTCCATTTTTGAATGAAAATCGGATGAAAGTTGGAAAATTGTGCATTTTTAAACAAAATCAAATGACGGAAGCCAAACATTCGCCAAAGAACCTTTCAGATTTTTTAGTTCATATTAATTTTGAATGAACAATAGACAAATAAATGTATGTATGTAAAGTTGCTTTGCTAAAGAAAGTTTCTCACACATTATTATATGAAGCATTTCTCAATTTATGTGTCTTTTTGTTCTAATTAACACGTTGCAAAGTGGTAGACAAAGCAAGACAACAACACAGTTTACCAGTTTTCGTTGAAAATACATGGTTAACAAACAAAATCTGTTATAACGCGTGGAAAGGAAAAGGATTGTTATGTCGACAAAAGTTTCTCTTTAACTTTTTCATGTAAACTGTGCATTTATTTTTTCCCATGTTCCAAGAACTTGTGATAACGACTCGTCTGCTTTGTTTCGTCTGGTTCATGTGTATAATCAAACTTTGTAACTTTCTCCAAGAGCTGAAAACAAGTGTTGTTTGTGCAGAAAGTGATGAGTGTTAATGATGATCGAAAGTTTGAAAAATGAAAACCTAATTGACAAGGAAAGGTTGTTGATGAAAAAAAATATGCAAATTTACATTATCCAAAAAGATGAAACTATAATTTACTGTTTATTGCGAGAAAGTTGGGCATATTTTATTACTTATGAATATGATGGAAAATTGGAAACAATCGTTTATGCAGTTAGTGTTGGTAATACAGTGTTTAAACCACACGGGTAATAAATAGCTAGCTGTTCTCTCAAGATAGTGCTTTTTATGGGGCTTGTGAATCAATATATTTAT